TTTCTTTGACTGCTTCAAGACTTTGAACTTGAGTTTCTCCTTTTTAGTGGTTATTTCAATCATTCATCAGTTTATAAATACACAGCAATATGACTAGAAATTTTGTGAGGCAATCAAGCCATTTGTCACAAAATTTCTGATTACCTAAAGAGTTTTAGAGTTCAGAGCAGCTTGCTGTTAAGCTTCAATATTCGGTAGACTGCTTCACTTAGTGTATTTTAAGCAAAAAAGACACATCTTTAGTTTTGGATGTCCTTCCTTTGATTAAATACACAGATCTTAATTTAAACACAGAAATCCAGAATCAGGACATCAAACGCGGATCTTGACTCTTAAATATGTATTTCAAATCTCATCCAGTAAAGAAGAGTTCATAATGCAGTAGTTTTGAACTTTCTGGCTAGTTCTCAAAGCCAGATGCTTTTGGATAGTGTTTAAGGAGCTTTTTTCATTGTTTGGTTATTTTGGTATGAGGTAGTTAAAGATACTGTAGAAGCCGGGGGAAAAAAAAAAAAACCATGCATACATACACGTACATATTTATATATATGCATATGGATGGACTGCAGATGAGATGAAGTTGGACCATGACTTTTGTATCCTTCAGCTTTCTGTGTGAAGAGTTGTGTGGAGTTACTGCTTAAGATTCAAATCATCCGTGAGGTACTACAGTCCAGCTTATGATCTTGAATTTTAGCTAGGCCTGAAATTCAGATACATTTGGTTCGACATGTTCCAGATTATAAGAATAGTAGTTTGACTTTGACACAACATGCTCTAAAGCTAATTCACATCTGGATATTTCTCCTCTGATTTGTGCTTTTGAAACAATATTTAACTTAAATGCATGCCTCAAACTTTAACAACCTTCTTGAAATTTAATGCTATGACTTACTTCTATCCTGTAACTTAGGATGCAGAGTAGTTAGTAATGCCTTAAGTCTCAGAAGAAATAATGCTGTTTCTTGCTCTATGCTTTTTGTTTATAATTTAATCTAGTTAAAAAAAAAAAAAGCCACAAAGTATTTTGTCATGAATTGTAGTTCTCAAAAAATTTCTTCTTCCTTTACCAATAATGTGTGTTCTTTAAAAAAAAAAAAAAAAAAAAAAAAAAAAGGAAAGAGGAAAAAAGAAAAAATTGAAAAGAAAAAAAACTAATTTATTTGTGTCTGATGACATGCGGAAGTACTGTATGGACCTGCCATCTGTTACTGGATTCTGATTGCATGTACTTTATCCACACTATTGCAACTTCCTGTTTTGAAGGCATAAGGTTAAATTCTGTTACCAAAAGTAACCCTTGACATTGAAGCATAATTTTTTCCCATGTGTTTTATTAAGGTAGATAATGATTGGGAAAGATTTTGGCGAAAGCATAAATATAACTTCTCAGAGAGGGAGCATGGCTAGGAGCATGTAACTGCTTCCAATTTTGTTCTGATTTAAGAAACGACTTTTTGCATATTTGCAGGTTAACGCCCACTCAGTGCCTTGTGTGGAAATGCTCTAGTTTGCAGAGCAACATAATGAGCAGCTAGTGAGGATGCTGTTCCCAGCTGCCAGAGGGTCTGTGCAAAGTTGTAATGACTGCCATACCACTGTCAAGCTGTCATGGACTAAATGAATGTTTTAAAGCATATTTGATGATTTTGTGGGTGGTTGATTTTGAATGTTCTAGAAATTCCAGGTTATTTTTTTTCTTAACTACTAAGACGCAAAAGATGAACTGCATCTAGATCTGTTTGGCTGCATGCAGTAATTCATGGATGTGAGACCTAAAGGGTCAGCATTCCAAGAGGATCATATCAACAACTTGAAATGAATTTCTAAAACGATGACCAAGATATTCAAGACAATTATAAGTTGTTTTGGAGAGTAGGATTCTGCCTCTCCTAGACTTACTGTGTGATGGGTGATATTGAACCAGTTATCTAATCAAAAGGTTTTTATAGTTGAATACTAAGGGGAATACTCCTGAGCTTCCTCACTTAAGGCACTTGGTGTGCTCTTCATTTGTCCAGCTGCAAACAAAGTTGCTGTTCATTGATCACAAGAATTACTATATAGAGAAATATAAATAATTAATTTTGGATGCATCAAATCAGCCAAACAAAAGTTATGGAGATTTTGAGATTAATCATTCTGTGCCTCGCTACCCAATCTGTAAAATTCAATATTTTCACCTCAAAATAATTATAACCCCTGTTTTCAATAGCACTACAAATGTGTGCCATATAGAAGCCTAAGAAACACACGTATTCAGAGCAGTGAAAAGTTTGCTATAAATAGTTAGGGCTGTGCATCTCATTAACTGATTATCCATTCTTTACATTACAAAAAGGCAAGCGGTCCTATGGAAAAAAACATGTCATCATGTAAGTGCTTCCATGTAGTGCTTCCTGGTTTTGAATGCATTGTTTTGCGAAGTTATTAGTTCTAGTTCTAGTGTGGCACGTGTTTAGTGTGCACAAATTTTGTTTTAATACGTAGCTCGTTCAACAGTGGAATATTGACAGATTTTCAGAACAAGGGAGTAAATCACAGAACTTAAACTTGAGCAACTGTTAAAGATTGCTTTTTTTAATTATTATTATTATTTTGTAGAAATATATGTTACTGACAATGGGATGCTGCAGAATCTGCTAAAATTGCTGTTGAGGTTGAGAAAAAGGCTGCAAGCATGTATTAGAAACCATGAACTTAGGGAAGGCAGTGACATAACTTTGTGGTCTACTTGTGTAACTTTGAATTTGTTTCCCACTCAGTGGTGTGTAAATTTGCAATACAAGCAGGACCTGTGTACACTACTAGTAAAGCATAGATAAAATTACTGTCTGTCACCTCTGCTTGTTCGAAATTGGTAGGTTTGGCTTTTTGCACCTTTGTTGTAGAAGTAAACTGTTTCCCTCCAGAAAAATACTCCAGTACTGTTTTAAGTCACTGAACCCTCAAAGAAGGATATTGCCTTGTATTTCAGAGTTTTTAGGGTATTGGGCAGTCAATGACTCTTTAATACTGTTCTCATTTCAATACTAGTTCTAATCTAATTTTACTGTCAACTTTCAGATATAACATTAATTTCCTCCCTTTTGTAGCGTTTGACATGCAATATGGAATCAGATACTACAACAAATTGATTCACAATGTTTCTGCTGCTGATTAAGACATTTCTGGCAACGTGCGTATTATATTTTCGTCAGTAAACTGGCTAACATATTGAGTCCAACTGTGCTTTCTATTCTGAGGTAATTTCTTTAAAGCCGCTATCTACCATGTAGCGTGTTAAAATATGATTCTTGGCCTACTACAATTTTCTTGGAAATGAATTTACTGTAAATATCAAATTAAGTTTTCCTTTAAATGAGAGAAGCTTGGACTTTTACATGCACTGATGCACACTGAACTGAAATGTATAATTCTGAGATAATGAAAAGAACTTTTCATGTATTAATCTACATTTACTGCTTGATTCCACAGAACATTTAATGTCAGAGACACTGATCTGTGAAATGATAAATTTTCATCCCCATGCAGCACCTAACTACAGAATGGGAAGCCTATTAGCTCGTTGGCTTTCCTAATCATTTTGGGTAAATTAGGTGCACTAAAAAACACAGTCTGATTATTAAACTCTTGGTTATTGAAAAAGTCTTCTTTAACAGCCAGCATCTGAAAGCAAAGAGAAGAGTAACCGTTCCCAGTACTGCTGATTTGGAAGGGTCACATGGATAAAAGGATTTTAGGGAGAGGAATAATTGGCACAACAGCCTTAATAGATTGTGCAGTGCAGTGATTCTACAAAATATTTCTTCACTGAAAATGAAAATGTATTTTGGAAATGAGTTAAACAGCAACAGAAAAATCATGTTCAAGTAAAATACTGAAAAGGTATGCATTGCATGACTTTGCTTATAAAACTTATCTGGAGATTAAACGTATGTGCAGTCACATCGATGAAAAGGAAATATCTTTGTATAGAGAATGAGTCTAATACAGGAAGCCTTTTTTCCTGTTGTTGAAAAGTTAGCTTTAATGTTTAAGAACATTTTGAAAACCTGAGGTTGAGTTTAGTACTGTTGTGGGTATTTTATATTGCATTTTTTTCAAGACTAAAATTATCTTGAAAGACTTACTCCTATTATTTGTGAATTTAAAAGTATCTTTATTTTGTTTAAGTAAGGTTGTTCTTGCTTATGGTCTTTATGATGCATAAAATTTGGGGAAGAGAAAGGAAATCTTTAGTTCCTTCATTCTTGCAAGTATTTTTTTCCATGGGCTATATTGTCTGTAGTTTTATGGTTTCTTTCTTGATGCAGTACCTCAATATATTTATGCCTGTTGACTAGAAACTGGGAACTGACTATCAGCGATGTTGACGTTATCATATGAACGTGAGCTACATGTGACGTTACGAAAAGACTGGAGTAAGCTGTAGTTTTATGAATCAATTGCCACCATAGAAGTCAGTCCAAGCTATAGTAGAAAAATGAGCACCTATGTGGACATTGCACATATGCAGTTTGATGTGGAGTTGTACAGTCATGTTGATTCTCTTCTCTGCAAGTTCAAGTAAAGAAGAAATGAATAAGACGCTGGGTATGAGAACCCACTGCAAATAATTAGTGTGGAAAAAAAGAGTATAGTGAAGCGCTCATGAAAAATCAACTGGAAAGATCTTAGTTTTAGTTCAGTTTTACAAGCTGTTGACCACTTAAACCTGATAATGGCTGAAATATGTCTATTTTTGAGTATTATAATGCTTGTTTGGCGTAGTACCACCGTTCTGACAAGGATGAATTTGCTTTTTACCATGTTATCCGGGAAAGAGGATGTGTTCCACAGTCAGAGACAGTGGTATATGTTTGCTTTCGTGGCTGAACTAGTGGGACAGTGTAGAAAATACACCATAAAACCAGCTACTGATAAGTGAACTAAACGCCATACTTTTGAAAGACCAAGCCCATTTCAGTTGTATGTTCTTTGTTTTCTTTTGTGTTCAGTGACAAACAAGAAACCGGCTCAAGCATCTATTACGAAGGTCAAACAGTTTGAAGGTTCCACGTCCTTTGTCAAGAGAACGCAGTGGATGCTCGAGCAGCTTCGCCAGGTCAATGGTATCGACCCTAATCGGGTGAGTAGGCTGAGCAGTTCTAGAACATGACAACTGAGCTCTTTTATAATTGATTTATGAATCAGGCAGCCTTTCACTGTTCACAAGGCAGCTGGAAATATAATATACAGGTTTAAGTGCAAATTTTCCAAAAAGAAAGAAGTCTATGGAATATGCAAAGTATACTTCAGTGGAAAAAAACAGAGAAGGCAAGCTTATCAGATACTTCCTCCTTTTCTCTTCCTGTCTTTCCTACCTTTTCTTACCATTCTCTTTCCTCTTCCTAAACATAAAAATAAGAGCTTTGTTTGCCCTATCCTCAGTTGTAAGCCTCTTGGGCTCCATTTTGATTTGGAGCTGTGTTGTAAGACAGAGCAGTAAGCTCTACTGTGGAGGAGGTTTCTGAGATTCAAGTTTGTGGGACAGAATAAAACTTGCCTCTTTTGGGGACAGTCCTCTCCTCAGATCCTTCTGTATTTCTTATCTGATTCTGCTAAGGGCCTAACAGCACAGGAACACTGATTTAAGAACAAAATATGCGCTAAGTAGATTTGGAAATCCCTCTAGAATTTTTACCTCGAGCATTTCTGTAACGTGAAATCTCTCAACACACAGTGGTGCTAACATATAGTAAGCTTAACAGTAGTAAAACAGTCAAATTAGAAGTTATGAATGTGACTCACACTGTGTGATCAAAAAGTGACTTAATGTGTTCATTGCACAGCAAAACGTGCTTGTGGCTGGCCGCCTCGGTTTGTTCAAAGCTGTGGTCTGATCAGCTGCCTCAGCCCTTTAGTGATGGCGCGCTAAATTCTGTTACTGCCCAGTGCAGTCTTGTTAACAAAGAAGAAGCTCTTTGCTACTGTCATATGAAATGTAGGGAGTGGAATTATCTTTGCTCTGGGTACAAGGACAATGAGAACAAGAAAAAGAACACAGATGAGGGATATGAGTTTTATACCCCTTCCCACCATCTGCTAGGTAGCTCTGTAAGCAACAGCTTGGGATACTTTCAGGTTGAAAATACTTCTAAATACTTCAGCTTAGACAAGTTCCTACCAAACTTGTCTTCCTGTTATTCTTAGTGTTGTTGACTCAAAATGGTATTTACTAGTTAGATTACAAAGTGCTATCTAGCGGATAGTGCTAAACATATAGCAATACTGCTTGCATAGTGTCTGTTTCTTTTGGCCGTTGATGCAGGGTACAGAGCCAGGGTTTACTTTGTTCTGGAACTAATTTTTTGTTCATGTTGTCTTGAGACATATACAAGATCTTGAGTTTCACTTATCAGTTCTTACAATATCTGGGACTTGCTAGCTGTTTTTCTTCTTTGCATGAATAACCAGAGCAGAACCACACCTCCTATAACATAGCATGGAAGTGGATTCTATGCTAAGAGACTTCTCCATGGTGAAAAGAAAATCCTGTATATCTGTAGCTAATGAGTTCTTATGCGATTCCAACTTTTAACTTTTTTGTCTGAAATATTCCTGTTATCAGTTTCAGGTTTCTTTCTCTTTTTTTTCCTTCCCCCGGAGATGAATATTTCTCATTTAAAAAAAAAAAAAAATCCATGACAAAAAAAAGAATTTTCTTGCCTGTTTATTTCTATCAAAAAATCTGCAGGGGAAAAATAATTCCAGGATGATCTTCAACTTTGTGATGTCTCTATTTTTTCAACATAATTGCTTTATAAAAAAAATGATAGTTCTACATTTTTCTTCAAATTGTTTCTAACACTAGAATGATTGTTTTTGTTTTATTTTTTCCTTCTAGGATTCCCCAGAATTTGATTTACTGTTTGAAAATGCTTTTGACCAATGGGTAGCAAGCACAGCCTCAGAAAAATGCACGTTCTTTCAGGTTCTTCATCACACTTGTCAGCGGTACCTTACAGACAAGAAACCAGAATTTATCAACTGTCAATCTAAAATTATGGGAGGTAAGCCAACTGAAGCTGGAACACTTGGTGCAATTGGACATGAAATGATGATTCCCACATGTGTGGGGGAGTGTACATATGTAAGTTATGTATATATCCGAGCACACACTTCTTTTTATTAAAAAAAAATTTTTCATTGGAGTGAAATCACCAGTGGGATTCCATAGGGATCTTTGCTGTGATCCATATATTCATTTAATGTAAACATGTCCATACACATGTTCGAGCGTGGGAAAATATTTGAGGAAAGTGTTATTACTGGATTTGCTCTGTATTTTTCCATAAACGACTTTGGCCCCTATCAGAAATGAAAGATTGACTTAGTGCTTTGATGTGACACAGTACATAACCATTATATTTTTGTTAATACTGTTAATAGTTTTCAGCTTATAAATCCTTCTTTTGCATATTTTATGTTTATATATGTTGATGGTGTATGTGCGTAATTTTTATGTGATGCCTACATTGTGTGTCTGTGTGTGTATATATACATATATATAAAAAAGTACAACTGAAACCACTTTGTTTTTATACAAAGGAGGAAAAAAGTATAGTATCTGTAGACAACTTATTTCTGAGGCCATTACTAACTGTACTCATCCCTGCATTAAGAGCTAATATTAATCATTTCAAAGAACTGCTCACTCAAGGGAATGAGCATGCTCAGTCAGTCATTCAACTGAGAGATGGAATAACCGTTACAGTCTAAGAAGTTAAGTGTAATATTTTCCTGGAGAAACTTTCCTTTCTCATCCCTTGTTTTTAATTTAATTTCCTCTGAAAAGTATAGCATGTGAATACTATACGTATTTTTACATTTCTTTCTCCAGTGATTCTGGTCTTTCCTATTGAGCAAGCATTGATGTTGTCCTTTCACCTCTCCCCCCCACCGCCACCACCGCAAGAGCTAAATTATCATAACTGTTGTAAAGCGATAACTGCAACTGTTTGTTCAGCAACAAACTAATGTTCCAACCTTATTGAAGTCGTATATTCCAAGAAATATCTGTGTATGAAATAAGGAATTGTTATATCAAAGAGAGATCATTAAGTATTCACAGAACTTCGAGATATATGTAAAATTTTTTCACAAATAAATATTTGGAATGTGATACTAAAAAAAAAAAAAAAGACGGAACAATGCAAAATGCTAAATACGCTTCCATTAAATGAGCCCCGTTCTGAGACTGTGTCAGCCAGTGACTTTCTTGAGCTTTCTGCTGTCATAGTATTTGTCATCTTTCAAATGCTTTATGGTGGCATTAACACTGATGGAAAGTAGTGAAATTTTAAGTAATGTTATAAATCTACTTCTGTGGCAAGTAATTTTGACCATCTCTAGAGAGAATTGTAAAAACTGATGCTTAAAAAGGTAAGTAGAATTTGAAATTTCCTCTGAACTGTGGTGGATGCTGCTACTGTCCAAAGAGCTTTTAGGAAGAAATTTAATTTGGGGTATGATTAATTTCTAAGTATTCTAAGATTAACTTCCAAGTACTTGGCACATCCAGTCATATGGCTAACTAAGTGGTCAACTCTGTTAATATCTGTTACCTTTATTTCTACCATACCTGCAAAAAAACAGAGGTGCAGAGATTAAATTTTCTTTTTAATGCAAAAGCAGAGCTGATCAAGAACTTAATGGAAACAATTTTTTCAGAGTATTTTTATTTTTTTTATTACTTATTGAAACAGAATTTTTGATGAATTAGAACTGTTTCCACCTGGATTAACTAAAGGCATTGTTTGGAAAAAATTAAAAAATTTCGGCATAATAACTTCAGTGATTCAGGAAAACCTGTTTTGTCTCTTAGTACAAGTTTTAACTTCTGATAACAAAAAAATTCCTGTTTTTTACCACAGTTTCTTCCTAATAATTATTGTCTTTGTCAAGCGTTTTGCAAAGAGTTTAAGATTTTTTTTCTAGCATCTTTTTCCAATCACTTTTCTCTTACTTTTCTTCCTGCTCCTTTTTCTTCTCCTCCTCCTGCTCCTAGGACATCCACTGATTTGTTAGTGTACCATATTTTTCAGTTCTTTTCTAGCTTTGTATTTAATGCTTGTTACTATCCATTACTTACTGTTTCATATTTTGAGATACTTCTGCAAGCATACTGGTTCAGCTTCAATCTTTCAGCATCATGTTTGACATAATTCTTCAGTAACATAAAATTAAATGCATTTAATAAAATAAAATTAAATGCATTTCATCTGTCAGTAGCTGGTCTAGTAATTGTGGAATACAAAGTACAAGGTCCAGGCAGTAGTAGTTTTACAGTCATGATGTACAGAAGTATAAACAAAGGAAGGTTTGTAGGAAAAAGGTTATATGTTATACTCCTTAACTGTTCCCATCCTACCCCCGTGACCTTGAGTTTAGTCAAACTTAGGCGGATAAAACCTTCAAGGCTGTAAAAGAATTTTTGTATTTAATAGCTTATCTGGTTTTTCCACATTCTCTCCTCCCCTTTCTCTCCCAGTCAGGGCCTCCTTTCCCCTTGCAAAAGTGTTTTTGTCCCCAAAATGCTGTTAGTTTATTCACGTTACCTCTAATGACAATGAATATTTCAGATTACATTGGTTATCTTTCATACTTCAGTTCGTAAAAGGCTGCGTGACCTTGCAATTGATACTGCTGATACAGTATTAGCAGCATGATAACATATCAGTTGGTATATTATTAATAATAAAAACATATACCTAATAATTTGGCTATGGAAATAGACAAAGCTTTCTGGATAAAGCCATGAGGGATATATTAGCAGAATGAATTGAGCTGGTATTTGTAGTTCTGCTGCAGAGACACCAGCTTATGCCTCTTAGCATATATATGGGCTAGAAGGAACACCAATCACTCTTTCAAGGGTTTCATGATGAGTATTCTTTTTCTTACTATTTCCAAAACTAGATGAAAGTCAAATCTTCCAAGGCTTTTTACAGGCTTTTCTCTACCAGAATTCTGGGTATTATCTAATGCACGTAGTAGATTCTAATACTTGTCCCACTGGGGAAAAAGTAATTACTATAGACAGATTGGCTAGTGAATAATTTATAATATTTTTTGGCAGTGGCCAAGATTAATTGCATGGAGACATATCAGAACAGATGAAAAGTGCCAGAGATCCAAGCAGTGTTTGACTTCTTTGCTAGTGCATACTGCATTAAAGCCGTTGTGTTCAGATACTAATGCTATTCAGACAGCTGGCAGAAATACCACTATACCCAGTTCTATAAAATACAAGATACTCGATTCTTTGAGTCATTCTTCATTCAAATTCACTGGCAATTTGATTAGCTCTTGAAACGGTGGGTCCAAATATGCTGACTTTGCAGTAGTAAACTTCTAGGCTTCAGCATTTGCCTGTCTAGGACCACTTCCTGTTCTTCCGATATCTCTGCTTCTGTAGGGTTTGGTTCTGGACGCAACATCCATTGCCCACCTTCTGAAAAATCATTCTCCCTCTCCCTCTTTTTAGCAAGCTTGTTTTCAGTTTCTCTCTCTACTTTTGTTCATCCAGAAACGTTTCTGAGCTGTCTGGAACATTGCTCACTGGAAGTCTGTTCTGCGTTGAAATACTTTGTGAGGAAATGGCAGAAAGCGCTACATTTCCAGTAGATGTCTTGAAACTTACTCTGATCTTGCTAGAAATCAGTTAACCTTTTTGTAATTCATAAGTCTTGAGGTGAATTCTCAGGATTAGTTATCAGATGAAAAAGCATCTGGTTAATATCTGAAATTGGGAAGTGGATGGCAGATAGCAATCAGTGAAAACTACTATTGTGGGAATATTTTCACTTATTTCACTAAGTGTTGTTCAGGAAAATAAACCTCCTTGCGTAGGTGGTTTAGTTTTCTGCCCTTAGGCTGAAATTTCTGAAAATAGTCTCTTTTTATATTTGTTCTGAAGCACAACACTTTCAAAATTTCTTTCTGTTCTCTGAAGAAAATATTAAATTCCTGCATTAAAAGGTCTAACCAAAAGCTGCTCAGCTGAAGTTAAAAATTACTTTTCTCTTTCTCAATGAGTATCCTAACAGCCTCCAAACTGTCAAACAGAAGGACATTTATTTTTCCAGGGGGCCCTGTTCAGCAGACCTCCTAGATTCTTGGTTGTGTGGTGATCTGTTCTTGTAGTTGTCCCTGGCTTCAGCCTGCATTGCAAATGGTTACATATGGGCTTCCTAACAAAATTCCCCTTAGCTTCTGTGGGAGAGGAATTTTGCTGCTGTAGAGCTTGCAAACTTCACTACGCCTGCACCTTTTTCTTGTTTAAAGACCACAGACAAATCCATACAGACCACAGACATACATCTTAGTTTGCAACTCTGGTCACTGACTACAGCAAGTATGATGCAAATTATTAGGTATATTGGTGTATCTTAAGAGTTCCTTAATCTGTTTATCTGCTTCCCAAACAGCAATTAACCAGGGACTGAAATGAAGCAAGATAACTAGTGTTTTCACTGCAAGTTTTTATCTGAGATAGGCTTTTATCGAAAGGTCTCAAGTTTAAGTTCCAACTACTGACTTATGAATAATGAAGTTAGAATTTCAGCTTATCCATACTCACAAAATTTGACAGTATTCACTGTGCTCTGTATTTGGGGATTGTTAACATTAACCATAACTCAAAAATTGCTAAAGCAAGCAATAGAAATTGACATTTTGGATTTCAAACTCAAATGAATATGTTCCCTTCTGTCCTAATAATTATAAGTGATAAGTTTGGAGAGTTTTGTTTTTTGGTGGCTGTTTCAAAGGAAAAAAAAATACCTTTGTTCCCATCAAAATAATATTAAACCAAATAATTAGTTCTTTTTAATGATAGGTCATTAGTTCCAAGAACAAAAGTATATAGGTAGCTAGCTGTGGAAAATGTTCTCTTTGCAAGGTTTAATATAAGCATAATCAAATATAAGGAAAGATATAGGATATGTTTGGAAACAACTTAAAGACTATGAAGATCTGTGACATAGAAGTTATCAAGAACTTCCCTGAA